TCATATATATATATATATATATATATATATATATATATATATATATATATATATATATATATGCATGTGTGTTTGAGTTTGTGTGTGTAAATAAAAACGTTTAACAAATAAAATGCTCACATATCTATACGCATATAAACATGTGCATACAGACATGCATACACAAAAACATATAAATCTGAACATTTACACATAAATGTACACATACGCATATATACAGTCATACATACATATATATGCACACATATATAAATACGTGTACATAGATATGTGCATACACATATGCACACGAATCATGCATCTATACATACTAGTCATATATACACAATTTAACATATAAGCAAAAATCCATCTATATATGCACATACGCATACACATATATATAAATATACACATATATAAACACGCATACCCACATACAGATATATGTACATACATATTCACCAATACACATACATATATATATATGCAAACACTTACGTATATATACACATGTACACCCAAATACTCACATAAACACATATATATTACGCACATACACATACACATATAAATCCACGTACGTGCACTCAACACACATATATACATAAACACGCATATACATATACAATGCATAAAACATATATCAGCGCACATTCATATATATATATATATATATATATATATATATATATATATATATATATATATATATATATACAGAAATAAGAAAACATAAATCCAAACATGCAAAATAATTATATGACAACAAAAAGTAAAAATTCTGACAGCAAAATAAATACTAAATAATACTTTTTTTTAAGATAATTTAAATCTGTTTTTGTGGCAACATTTAAATACGATTTCGTTTCTTTGGTTCAATAGCTGGTTCGTATTTTTATATTTAACTATTTGAATTTTTTCTTCTAGACACAAATTACAACTATTTCTGAAGCTGCTAGGGGTATGAGATTTAGCTATAATCTTCCATTCTGTCTGTGGGGTGAAATTTCTATCCTTTAATTTACAGAAATGCTTGGAAAAAGCTGTTTTAGATAAGTTTTCGTGAAAGAATGCTTCCAAATACCAGCAGAAATTCCAATATAGTTTATAATTTGCATTTGCTTTGAGGTAAATGTATGGTTGGTATATACCATTTTCGGATTGGCATATATCTCCAACTGGGCAGTTGTTTTTTTATTTCTACAGTTACAATATCGCTTATTATCTGGTTGGTTATTGATATAAAATTTGTTTAATATTTCATTATTATATGAATGAATGATATTATAATGTTATTTGTGCAGTAGTAGTTAATTTTTAAGTGTTTTCTATTAAAAAAAATTACATAGTGGGTTATTTCGGTTAAAATATTTGTTAGTCAATTTCAGATGTGTATATATAGTGTATATGTATATACATGCTTGGGAATATATGTGTGTATATACGCGTATATGGATGTATATATGTATGTGTGTTGTAAATATATCTATCTATATATATATATATATATATATATATATATATATATATATATATGTGTCTGTATGTATAGATGGATGTGTGTTTAGATGTCAAATTGTGTATATATGATTAATATGTATAGATGTATCAATGATTGTATGTATGTGTATGCACATTCATATGTATGTATATGCATATATATGTGTGTGTGTGCGTGCATGTCTATTTATGTATTTATGAGTATAGATGTATGTATGTGTTTATATATATATATATATATATATATATATATATATATATATATATATATATATATAATATGTATGTATTTGTGTATGCACATGTGCATATGTGTAGAGATTTGTGTGTGTGCAACGCATATTTCACTTTTCACGGTTTTTTATTTATTTACACACACACACAGACACATACACACACACACACACACACACACACATATATATATATATATATATATATATATATGTGTGTGTGTGTGTGTGTGGATGATTTAAACTATTTAAACTATTTTTTGTCTGAAGTAATATATAAGTAATGTAGAACTAGACATAAACCAATATTTTGCACTATCTATACCCACATCGATCAATCAACACAAGAAGTAATGCATTTTATTATTAAATTTTAATTTTTAATCATTTTTTTTTATCCTTCAAAATTTTGGTTAAATTTGTTTTTCTAGCGTTAGCTGGTGACCATTATTTCGTATACAAAATGTTAACGTCTTTTAGCGGTTAAAAACACAATTTGGAAATTTTTGCCAAAAATCAAACATTTGTCGGTTTTAATTAAACTTTAGAAACGTGCCTTTTTTTTTTAGAATTTTCTTTTTTTTATATCTGTTACCCACATTTAAATATTTTTGCGCGGTTTAATGTTTATATTAGTTATAAGCAGAAGTCTTTGTAGAAATTTAATCATCACGTTTTTTTCTAAATCAGAACCCACGGTTACCAATTTTTTTCTGAATCTTAAAATAAAAAAAGAAAAGAAAACTAAGACCTTAAATCGGACATCCATACACGACCTTATCAGTAAATAAGAACAGTGATTATAGTAAAGTTAACGTCAATAGAACTAAAATTCTATAAAACATTAGATGACTTGGTGCATTTTCCTAATTTTAAAGATTACAGTGTAGATAAAATTTACATAAAATGTCGCTCACGTTATATTCGTCGAGTAATTTTTACAGATATATGTCACTAGAAAAGAACAGTTAAATTTCCCAAATATCCGGTTGTATATAGAGCTGTCAACACCTCATAAAACACCCACCTTCGTGTTTAATTCTTTTCTGCGATTATCCTTTAAATCAGCTCATTTAACTCAAATAAAGTATCATGAAAGCATATTTTATTTTTAAAAGACTTTTTCATAAACAGAATTACATTGTGCTGAGATATTTGTAAATATGGCTAAGATTAGTGATTTTTAACTTTTTAAAAAATCATTTCAATCAATTTAAATTTATTTTGAAATGCAGCAAATTTTTTTGGCTATTAGAAATGTCAAATTTAATCTATCAGCTTGAAAGTAAAAATAAATAAAAGCAACAAGAAAGATTTTTCATTTCTTTTTTAATTCACTTTCATCCTTAGGTATTGCGTTTCTTTGGAGGTACCAACACACGCGCGCACACACACACACACACACATGCGCGCACACACACACACACACACACACACACACACACACACACACACACACACACACACATATATATATATATATATATATATATATATATATATATATATTTAAATATGTTTAAAACAGTACAGAAGCGTATTAAGGCATAAAAAGCAAGAAATTTTATATTGTAGGCCATGATAGATTTAAAACAAAAACACACACCAGTCGACCGGTTTCGTCCCCTCTCATCAGAACTGTTAACAGGGAACTAAAATTATGAAGAAAAGGAAAAGAAAGTTCGCACACATTATTCCATCTTAAAGTGTTGGAAACGCTTTACATCAGGTCCAGGCAACCTGCTCTTTGTAAACAAAGAGATTGTTTGCTTGGTCTTGCTGTGTTGGTTTTTTTTTCTCCTTGTCCACTCATTCATGTCATCCATGACAGACTTTTTCTTCTCCTTTTCTTCATAATTTTGAGAGAGGACGAAACCGGTAGACTGGTGTGAGTTTTTGTTTTAAATCTATCATGGCCTACAATATAAAATTTCTTGCTTTTTATGCCTTAATATATATATATATATATATATATATATATATATATATATATATATAATGAGATGGATAAATTGTCGTTTAAATTACGCAAAAAATGAAAATAACACTGACATCTTATTTTCTCAGATATATTTACCAAAATTACACAAAAAATATCTTAAATATTTAAGATTAAATTTCTTCAAAAAAATCGCCATTAGCTTCATCCACGGCCTCCAGACGACTTCAGAATCCCCTGCAACTCTTCTAGACGGTCTCCTTTATTAACCTCGTGATCGCTGACATGATCTTTGCCTTCAGTTTTTCTTTGGTGTTACAAGGTGTTTTGTTGGTATCTCGCTCAACTGCGCCCGAGATATAATAATCAAGGGTGAGGGGGTTGCAGTCTAGGGAGTTAGATATCCAAACATAAGAGATGTGATCGCAGAAATTGTTTAACACCCATGGCTACGTTCTACTGTTTGTGTGGCATAGTGCTGAGTGCTGTTACCAAATATAGGCTGTTCCACGCAGTTGATGTAAGCCTCTTAGTTGAGTTTGCGACCCTTTGAGAAAATAAATGGAGGTATAACGTAGCCATCACTAGTGATCACTCTAAGCACCTTCGTAATCACCATTAGACCTATCCAACTCTTCCTGAATCCTCTGCACTCTCCCTAGATTGACACTCAAACACTCTGAAATATTCGTAATGGAGCTTCCGGCTCGAATACCAAGCAGTAAAACATGCCAATTCCAAATTTCTGGTGGAGTGAATTGCGTCATGATACTCAATTCTTTGTCGAGAAAGACATTTGTTTTTTATTTATTATTTTATTTTTCGACTAAAAATATTTCCAAGTATTAAAAAGAAATTCATTGTTTTAATGGCAAGCTACTAGCATGTCTCCGAACAAGACATTTAAATCCTGAGAGTGATTTAAATACAAGTTGAGAGACTGAAGAAGCAACTTAACCTGCCGAATTCCTGATTCGAGGAACAATTATTGATTGAACGCCGGATTGAAATGATGGATTTTTCTATGACTCTTCAGACCATTTGCGCTAATGACATTCTTAACACATTTCGGTTGGCATTTTCATTTGTTGTTGTTGTTGTTGTTGACTGTTTATATTTTGCGGTATATCGATACGTTTTATCTTCTACCGAAATCTAAATATTTTTGCACGCAATTGTATTTTTTTTTCATTTTTTAAATAATAATAGTATTAGTGAACCCAGTTTTACTAATTAACCCTTAGCCAGTGGAGAAGAGGTCGATTTTTCGACTGATTTTGGAACTCGGCTCACCGATTAAAAATTCTGAGCCATTATAAATTACCCCACCTGAACATCTAATTTTACACTACCTGGTATTCCCAAGCGGTCACTAATCTAGTTACTGATCAGGCTCGACATTGCTTAACTTTGCTGATCGTACGGGAATATGTGTTTAAACGTCATGTGACCGTATGCCAAACAACATTTCGGGTATGAGGGCATTTATCCCAGCACCGTAAAATTTAGCTGGTTGCTGATGTAGTCAATTCTTTACGTAAGTTTTCATTTCTTCATCAGTCCCTGACATAACTACGTTAGACTGCCATCTCTTTGATATAATAAAAGAAGCAATGCGAGTCAGCTGAGTTTCAAGAATCGAGGAGTTTTTCTTTATGTGCCATGTCCCTTCAGGACGTCGGCAATCATCAACTTCCTGTCTCTTGTAGCTAATAATAAGCGTTACATTTCCGTTACTCCTGATAAGCCCTGTTCCACTATAAATTTACTCAAGCTCATTATGTTATGCGTTGTTTTCCTATGTCCCTCTTTCACTCTATCTGTCCAGTGAACGTAGATTTTAGGATAAGTGCACTAATACGTATTTGGGGCTCTGCTATTGAAAAGGTGGTCACTATGTTGATAACTACGGATGTGAACAATTGATGTATAGCTATAGGTCCATATACGTTTCTTATTTCTTATATAATACAACTACATAAATTTTGAACTCACCCAAGCATGCTATGTGCGCACGCCTGTATGTGTAATATGTTATATCAGCTTAGCCATTGATTGACGAAAACAGACAGGTAGATTATAAAAGATTGAAAGGGAGAGAGAAAGTGAAAGTGAATATATATATATATATATATATATATATATATATATATATATATATATATATATATATATATATATATATATATCTCAACAAGTGACTGCATTGACGACACCGTAAGGTTGCTTGGGTAATGCGATGCACGTGGATTTTTTCCTAATCTTATATTTTATTACCAGCTCTACAAATTCAATTATTCTGAATTGTGTATTGAGTATTTTTTTTAAATCTCCAAGCATTGGCCTGACTCAAGTCTGGCCTAATATTTTTTCTTTAATATTAAATAAATATATATATATATATATATATATATATATATATAGAGAGAGAGAGAGAGAGAGAGAGAGAGAGAGAGAGAGAGAGGGAGAGAGGTGGGTGGTGAGAGATTCATCACATGAAAGTGAGATAAATGGCTCTAATAGTAACATACTAAGATATATATCTATATATCTCTATCTCTGTCTATCTATTTATCTATTATAGATAGATAGATAGATAGATAGATAGATAGATAGATATAGTATTTTGAGAAAATGGATATATATAAATTTATTATTCTGGACAGTCTGTGACAGATAGAGCTGATATAATCATATAGATATAAGCAGGCTTAAATAGACATATATATATATATATATATATATATATATATATGAAGAAATATAGTCTTAAGATGTGCTATATTTATGGTATAAAGTGCTCAATATCAGAGCGTGTGTAAATATAAAACGAACATAGTCAACACTTAGAGGCGACAGTCTATTTCATGCAAATGCAATCGTCAGGCCAATACATATATATATATATATATATATATATATATATATATATATATATATATATATATATATAGAGAGAGAGAGAGAGAGAGAGAGAGGGGAGAGGGATAGATAGATAGATAGATAGATAGATACATACATACATACATACATACATTATTCTGAGCAAACGGAAATAGATACATAGATTATCTACTAGAACATATAGATATAACCTGACTATATATATATAAGTAGAGAGAAAGAGAGAGACCATTTTTGAAGCACACTAAAAAACTAACAGTGATGTACAAACACACAGGCGAACTAGTGAATTACATCCTCTTAACTTGCAAACATTTGCTTAATAGCTGGATGCACAAGTTCTGCTGTCTTATTTTAAAAAAAATCAATGACAAATTTTTTCTCATTCCATTCTAAAATATCCTCAACCCATTAAATCTCTGATTTGAAAAATTCAGTCCAATCGTGAAGCCGTTATTAGCTTTTACGCAAAGTCGGCTAATGGCGACCTTTCCACTCAATGAGATGATTTGAAATTATCAATACTATAATTGCAAATCCAATAGAACGTTGGTGTTATTCAGTGCTGTGCGAGTAAAAAGATAAATAAATTGTATTATTAGTTCAGCGTCATTTAAATATTACATAGATTCAAAAAATGTAGAAAATATATTTTTAATGATTCGAGTGTCGTTGGAGACGCATGGTCAGACATTTGCACTGAGGCATGTCTTCATGGAAATATAAAGGAAAATGAATGCAAAACAAAGATGGCTGGTATTTCAGAAAATTTGTACATAGAATGTACATAAAAATAATATAGACATGTAGAGATAATAATGTAGAAAGATAAGAGAGGAGAAAAATTTAATATTGACTATAAAATACAGAAAAGCAAAGGTTTTGAGAAAGTAATATTGTTTAATGGTGTGGAAAATAAAAAAGCAAGGGTCGGGAGTGGCACAGAATGAGAATAACAACATTTATATTGAAGCAAAGGAAAGAAGGAAAACAAAGAAAGGGAAAGACAAAATATATAGTTAGAAGAAATAAAGAAAAGAATGAAGGAAAAAAATTAAGCGAAAGAGAACCAGAAAAATAAATAAAACAAAAAAGAGAAAAAGAAAGAAATAAGGAGAAAGAAAAAAAGAATAAATGTAAAAAATAAAAAAAATATAAAAGGTGTGAATAAAACTAATGAAAAATAGTAAGGAAGAAAACGATATAAAGAAAGAAAGAAATCAAAAACAAAAGAAAGACAAGATAGAAAGTAAAAATAAAAAATAAATAAATATAGAAAAAAGAAGAAAAAAATAAAAAATAAAAACGAAAATAAAGAAGCAAAAAGATAAAAACGAAATAAAAGAAAAAGAAAGGGAAAAGAAAAAATGATTGAATAAATAAAATAAATAAGTGAAAAGAAAATGTTTATATATATATATATATATATATATATATATATATATATATATAACTACCAACTACAGAAAATATGACATAGGGTCGATGTTCTCACAGAACCTCATACACGGACATGTGTGTCGCTGCAGTAATTGCCGAGGCCCTGCACTCTCTGCTGAGAAATCGTCCAGGCAACTCAAGATCTTTTTTGGTTTGCATTATGTGGGAAATACAAAATACAGAGAATATATGCCTCTGTATGAATATTTCGCTGAGAATTGCTCAAAAGCATGACGCAGATAATCTTTGGCTAGAAGCTTCCATAATCCCATAAAGCGAGTTGAAAACTATATTATTGCATATTCAAAAAGAAGAAAAGATTTGGAAAGATATCCACAGAAGTAAACGAATAAACATTTCCTATAGAGTTAAAATAACATTGTTAGGATCCTGAAAAATAAAATATTTAATGAAAAAATGACTACGATAAAGAAATACTCGTTCAGTTAAGGAAGCAATAAATGATACAAAGTAATAGTTATATTATCCGTTTCATTCTGAGAAAACATTTGGTATTCATTGAACGAGAAGTCAGTCCTACTGTCGGTTGATTTTTATAAAATATGTCACGTGGAACTTTTTTTCAGGAAAATCGGTTTTAGCTATTTTTGTTTAATAGCTGTTATCGCTTTTTAGATTATTGTCCTTGATTAATAAAATCTCATTGAGGCGAGATTTTGAAATTATCGTCCCCTGACGATTTAAGGGCTGCGCGAGAATTGAAAGACTCGATCTCTTTCTCGATGAGTTTTCATATCGAAAAGACGTATTTTTTCGCTCCTGTAATTTATGAGTATTCAACTACAGACACCTAAAGTTGCTTTGAATATTTTACAATTCATTTCATTTCATTTCTCATATCTTCTTTTGTAAAATATCCTGACAATATAATTGTTAATATTTCTTTGTTCAAATTCTATGTATTATTATTCCTTTTCTTTTCCTACCCTATACAAGTGCAAGTTGTTAGCGGATCAAATGTACCAGGAGCCTATAACTTCTCATCAGATGAATATACACACGCTACACGCTTTTTCCAGTACTGAAAAGGGGGGGATCCTTCATATCGTTTTATTTAAAGTAGTAAGGAATGTAAACATTTTGCTTATGACATTTTCTCTTCGAGTTCGACGTGATCTCCATTTTAGCTGTTACCGTTCTTGAAAATCCTCCAGTAATGTGGTTTTTGTTCTTTGTGCTTCTGTAGCGCCGATTGACAGTTTTTGAAGAAAGGTGGTTATCAACAAGACCCTCAGGTTTCGTTCAAATCTATTTTAACCATTGATCTGAGAAAGCGGTTGTATACTGCTGATATTTCTGAAAGGATTTGGTGCAATTTATGACATTTCTATGAAGTCTTGATCGAACAAAACTATTCAAAAACATGACTAGAGTTTCAGTATTAATACCTTGATGTTGTAGCAATTCGCAATGTTGGGCTAGCCTACCTTTAGCACTGTCTATTCTACGTTCAATTTTCTTAATTCTCATACTAAATTTATTTAAATCTATATAAAGAAGATAAGAGGACTCTAATGCTAGATGGCCTGAGAAATGGCGAGAATCATTTTGAAATGTTCACATTGTTTATAGTACAGACGATTTAATTAAAAGTATTTGACAAATTCATATTGAAAAATTGAGAAAAGTGGGTTCAACTACAATGATACACCCACAACAGAGATGATGGCCTGAGTCAATACAAATATTGAAAAATACACCGTCATCTGAAAGAAATTGAAAAGGTTTCTAAACTTGTAAAGTCGTTTCACCTTTATTTGAACGGAACAAAACGTAAAGCAAGAACTGTCGTATGCAACTCTCCAGATTCTCATAAACCAATCTCACTATTTTTTGATGAGAATAGTTAATGCATATGATAAACGAATTATTTACAAGAATTTTAGAACAAAAGTGTTAGTGTATAGTGATAGGAAAATATGTAAATAATAATGAAACGAAATTTTCATCATCTCTAAAAAATAGATGTATATTCAGAATCGCCAGGTCACAAATCCATATTTCGACCAACCAATCAGAAACTATTCCCTTTCAGAATATAAGGCCTTGAGTCAATGATAATTAATGCGGAACTTTCGAAGCGGATCTC